TAATAATTGCCGCGTTTCCCAGACTGTGCCCTTCTGTTGACTTATTAATGGATGACAGTTATTATTATTATTTTTTCGGCACTGTTCTGGTCTCTGCTTGTCCTTGCCATGATGATGTCAGTGAAGGGAGGATTAAAAGAACAATTTGCTTTAAGTCGTTTTTTTCCCCCTGAAATGAAGCTAGCTTAACTCATTTTCACGGGGTTTCGAAACACAAAAGCCTCCATGATGCTAGATAAATACTTGACGTGTTGTTTCGAGGCAAAAAGATGTGAAGAAAGAAAAGAAAGAAGAAAAATCAGGTGCTCACATGTCCGTGTTGGTCCAGTTCGTTGTTCGTCAGCTTCACTTTCTCAAAGGAAACCATTTGCTTCATCAGCTGCTCGCCGGTGAATGGAGAGTCTGGGTGGACGTACAACCTGCGGGGAAAAAGAACAGCACCTGTGATTGGCTGAAAGGCGTTCCTTTCCTATCCAATCAACGTTCAGAAAACTGGCAAATTAAGAATCGCTTAGCGACTAACCAATTAATTGAAATTACAATAAATACTGTGATGTAATAATAATAAAAATAATAATAATAATAATTGTAAGAATTTTTATTTATAATTATGAGGTTAAGTAGGCTTACTTTAACACGCCCTGTTTATAAATTCACAACAGCCGCTTGGTGTGAGATCGAATTAGCAACGCTACGTGTAAAACTACCACAAAAAGTCATTAATGCCAAACAGCATTACACCTTTGTCAGAATGTTTTTTTTTTACTCAGTATTATTATATGTTGTGTTTATTTTATTTTGTAAGATTTAATAATTCCTAATCTCCCATTACTAGAAGTGTTTTTTTATATAATTCTCAAAAGTTTTAACAGGCTAACTATAGAAAAGTCGTTAATAAGCACACATCAATGCATTTTTTAATTGAACAGCATTTAAGTGAAGACTACAATCTTCATATGGGCTCTAAAATCCAGGTTCTTTGAAATAAATGGCTAGCTATGTAAATAAATAAATAAATAAATAAGAATAAATAGTTACTGAAAAGAGGCCTCCAAATGATCTCTTTCTTGAATCAAATCAATACAAGTCTGCTCTCCACTTTTTTACAAGTTGATTATATTTAGTTAAAGGTAAGACAAAATGTAACTGATTGTCAGGTTACATAAACAACAGCCTACCAGAAGAGAGTCAGCGGTGTCCATATTTTCATAAAGAATAAAGTTTGATATTGCAACTGAAATAAATCAGGTAGAAAACATTCATAAGTGCCAGAAAAGAGCAGAATTATTAGTGAATTGTTCTCAGGTTTTTCGAATATCCACCCATTCTTCCAACGTAATTACTGTCATTTGATCTAACTTGGAAAGTCGTTCAAAATATTGAAAATGTCTTTGGAATATTTTCATATTCAAATTCAAGTCTACACAGGGGATTTAAAAAAAAAAAAAAAAGGATACATATTTTAAAAAGAGACAGAGGGAGTTTAGGTCTGCATACCTGGCGGGGAGAGGGGGGTCGGCCTTGCCGGCTACCAGCCAGGAGGAGCGGTGGTAAGCGTATCGGTAGCGCTTGTTGTCCACTGGGACAATGTCCATCAGCACGATGTACTTGGAGTCCTGGTCCACCCCGGAGAAAGAGACTCGAATGGTTGGAAACATCCTCCTAATGGTGTTTTGTTAGAGCAGAAAGAAATAATTGCTGAGTTAGAACACTGGTCTTTCTAAATGTAGCGCTTGCTAAAAAGATAATAAAAATAAATAAAGTAAATGCACAGTTAACTTTTTGCCGGATATTCACAAACAGTTTGAGTTTTCAAGCCATACTCAGTGCAGCAATACAGCTCTGAATAGTGAATTATTAATTTACATTTGCTGGGTTTGAAGCTAGTAACGCCTCACCAATGTCCGTAAATGTGTTTAATGCAGTTCAAGTTTCACGAATTCGTTCACAGGTCCTTAACATTGCCTCACGTTTCCCTTAAAACTGCAACCATATATATATATATATATATATATATATATATATATGACCAGCTGCAGTGTCTGCCTTTATGTTACAGTAACCTGCGGTGTGTTGTTCAGGTGGCTCTTGGGTCAGTGAAACATTAGATTAAGGTGTAAATGTCCTTTCACAGCACCTGCGGGAAGTCATCAGATGTCTGCAGCTTCCTGCTGCTCTATCTACAGAAAAGTCAGACAGAGCTGCAGAGGAGCTTTATCCTAATTTTATTTTTTTAACTTTCAAAAGGCTCACAAAGAAGTTCCAAACAAAAATGAACCATAATTCATTTCTATATATTTCTCACAATATCGTCTTTTATTTTTCTCTCACCCGTCTATTTTTCTAATTTATTCTGTGGACGGATATATTTATAGCCTATTTATGGGACAATAAATAGGTTACATCAAAATATAAAAAATAAAATTACCTTCCAGATTTGGTGATGATCATCTCAGTACCGAGCTCGTGAAATTTGTCCCACAGCTCTTTGGTCTCAAGGCTGCACGAGATCTTCGCCATCTCCTCGCTTGGGATGCCTGGGTTGGTGGGGATGAGCGGCTCCGTGCACACGGCGGGCGCGCTGAAGTCCCCATGCCCGTCCAGGGAGGACAGGTCAGCCAGGGACTGCTGGTTGCAGGACGACTTCTCCACGAATTGCTCTGTTTTATTTAATTAAGGTGGATTTGTGGAGAAACAGGGATAATTAATCTCATTTGATTTTGATGTCATCAGGAACAACTGCAAGATTTTGTCTTAAACAGGGAAAGCAAATATGTAACCACAGTCTGCTAAAATATCCTGCTATGCTGTTGTGTTGCAGCATAATAAATGTAATAAATCTTTTTATTATAATACCTCATTTCTACTAGAGCGGCTTCTATCATGGATAAGGTCAAATAAAATAAACACATATCAGATCTGTAGAACACGTCTGTCGTTAATGAGAAGAAGCACAATTTACATTCTTACAGAAAATCTGAAAATTAAAGTGTAATACTTGTCTGACATGCCTGCTTTAAAAAAAATAAAAAGATATCTTGGAGAAGCAACTCGTCTTTTGATTCGATTGGCAAAACAAAATATAAAGAATTAAAAAAAGAAAATATACACTCTTTAAAATACAGGGAAATTAAATGTTGGAACAATTAATGCGCTGGGTGAATTTAGAGCCTTTTTATTTGCAATCATTTAAATATTAAAAACTCTTTCATTGAACACATTGGTTACTTTTTGATTAACGTATAGAATAAATTGCATGGATGTTTACTGTCACTCTATGTATCCTCGTGAATTTCCTTTTACATTTTACAGACTAGAACCTCACCTCACTGCTATCACAGTTCATCTTTATTTAATTTGTTTCTTCAGCATTTTCCTTTTATTATAACGCATTGTTATTTGTAAAATAGTGACTGATTTGTTTTACGGTTCCACATTTTTTGAGGTTACAAACGCCATTCGTTGATAAACTCGCTTTTATTATTGGATGTTTAACTGCATTTTGAAGTAAGTCGAAAGTGTAACCCCAAAGCTAAACTCACGTTGAGCCCGTTTAAGTTTTCTGATTTAATTCTTCAATTCTTCTCTTACCCAGAGGCTTGATGGTGTTCTCCTCCGCCTCCTTGTCCTTATTGGGCTTCCCGCTGGACATCAGGGCTGCTATGGAGAAAGCATTTGCCCGGGATGAGAGCTGCGGTTTCGGGGATGAAGTGTACTCCATGTTGGTGAAGAGACTGGAACAGAATATTCCCCTTTAAATAAGGAAAAAATCCCCAGAAAGGCTTAACTCCGCCTGCTTCCAACTGCCAGCGACGTAAAGAAAAGTGTGCAGGGAAATACGCAAAGTTTCTCCTCGATTTCAGCCTTTCTGCGCAAATACTCAGCTGTAAAACTTGTCACTTCGGAAACGCTTGTCACTGCCGAGTTGAGAGTCTTGCTGGATGCATGGTGAGAGAAGGCGGAGGAGGGCTGACTCCACAGACTTGTGCGCGTCCTGCAGTGCCAGATCTGAGGCCGGCTGCTCTTTGGGACGCTTCACTCCGGCTCACCCTCCCCTTATAATTCCAGTCTGTCCTCCAATCGCTGCCTCTGTCTCCACGTCACAGTCCCACTGTCCCACAGCCACCCTGCTACCAGGCAGCCAATTAAATACCCTGACAGGGTTTCCTTTTCATGCCAAAGACCCCATATACAGAGAGAGTGTGGTTGGAGAGGGCTGATGTGAGATTTTTATGACTGTCTGTACTCGGGTGATGACAGAAGGAAACGACAAACATATGGTTCGGAAAATGTAATTCTTTGCTGTCATTGCACAACACAAAGGAAAGAAATAAACAGAGAAATGTACTTTATATTTGGAGCCCTCTCAAGGACCCCCACCAGACCACATGTTGGGAACCACAAACCCAAAATGTCAACAACAGAGATTTTCCAGGAGATGTTTGCCCAAGATGGAGCTATTTGATAATTAATAGCAGAAGTGAGATGATGAGGAAAGCTTAACATACACAATATCTGCTCCTGTCACAATTATGAATTGATATGAAAGAAACACTGAAGCATTTTAGTCACATTTTTTTAAGTGGTTAAAACCTTTTTGGGTCACTCTTTCTTTTGGATACTAACCATCCTTTTGAGATGACTGGGTGTTCCATATATTAACCCCTTCCTGCAGTGCTGCCTGGTGTGTGAACACACTCACTCACAATTCATTTATAGATGAAACTACCTATTCATGCCAGAAGTTATAATTTTTTGAGTTATATAGTTGTTCTGTAATTTAAAAAAAAATCTTCCACAATGATTTCATTGTCTTACAGCTGAATCCAGCCTCACTTCAAGCTCAATATTTGTGGCTCTGTGTTGTTTAATGGGAATAACAGCTAGCACATCCAGCAACAAAAGAGTGCTAAATATGGCCCCAAACTACAACTGGAGAAGTTAGCGAGGTTTAAATATATATAAAAAACAAAAGCGTCAAATTATGTTGTTATTGCTGTTAAAGTTGAAACAATGAGATTATTATGATTTATAAAAGGAGTCAACGTGAACATGAATGAGAAATTTAATTTTAGGTGGAAATTAGCCCAAATTTAAAAATGTATTAAGTCTAATTTATTTTAAGTCTTTTTTATTTACTTGATTAGCAAATAATATCTTTGGCTGACTGCAGTGTAATACCCTTTAACGTTTCCAAATCCAGACAAAGTCCTCTGAACTGAACTCCAGTTTAACCAGGCGCACCAGTCCATGGATTTCTGCCATCATTTTTTGTGCTTCTGCTTTTCTGACACTGGCATAATGCCCAAGTCTTAATCCTAATTCTAACCTGAATTAAGAATGAACCCACCATCAGCCCTCTGAGGGTGCTTTACAAAATGGAACAACCAAAATGTCCACACTTTCCAAAGGTCTAAAACTTAAGACACTGGTCTGCACAAAGATAGCCTTAAGCGCACACACACAGGGACCTTACTGAGTGCTGGAGTTAATCCATTCTATGACACACACCAGTAATCACCTAATCTTGAACACACACAGTTTTCACGTGACAACAGGAAATTCACATTATTTTTAAGAGGCCCACCAGCAGGTCTACAAGTCCAGCCTGTAGTCTATACTGCAGGTCTGCCAGGCTCAGATCCCCTACTGTTATCATCTTATTACTGTCCTTAGTCACTCATTCAATTTTATATCAAAGAAGAAAGCTTTCAAGACAGATTAAATAAATCTTTTTTCTTTTATTTCCCTTGCTTTTAACTTGATAGGGACTGAATCCGGTCTAGACGTCACCTAATGGAGAGTGTTTATCAAGACAATTTCTTTTTTTTTCTTCCTGGATACACAACATCTTCACTGCTTGGTTCACTAGCAACCAATCACAGACCACTGGCAGCCACAGCTGAGCTCGGAAAACGGAGATTTCGAAGAGCACCTGAAAGCATCGTATTTCTGAAGCGCTGACTACATTTTTTTTTCTAAAGGTGTATCTCTTTCTCTCCTCTCTCAGTGTGTGCGCGAGTGTGTGTCCTCAATGTCACTCTCTCTTCTCTCTCAAAGATGGAGGCTTACATAAACACTGAGCCAGAGCTCTGCCGGGCAGCTAAACCCATTAGGAGACTCCTGAATGCAAATCCGCTGCTGCAGATATTTAATAAGAGACCTGGGCTGGCAAATTAGATTACCTTGCAATTGCTAGTGGATAATGTGCTAAAAGCTTTCCCACTTAAGCGTTACTCCTTACTGAATATTATTCACACTTTGAGGGGCCGGTGCAGCCTTAAAGAAGCAGACGGCCTGGAAGTGAGACACAGATGGTGGTTAGACTTGGTGCCTGAATACAAGATGAGTCACAGAGAAAACAGAAAAAAATGTCTGTGTGGCTGATTCAAAGCCAAATGACCCAAAAACCTGCCTCAAAATCTTGGGCCTGATTGAAAAAGCATTGTTAAGATTTACTCTTTATAAAGTATATAACCTGCATCAATGTTTAACACAGTTTTAACATCATTTTAAGATTAACACACACCCTCCAACTCTGTATTTAAATCTTTTCTGATCTTCACCAAACTTTACATTAAATATTCCCTAGAAATCTTATTACCTAAACATACGCGAGACACTTTCAATGTCCTAAACTGAAGAAGACCATTATGGCATTAAGCTTAAGGAACAAGCACACCTACACTGAGTCCATGTTTGTTCATATTTAGTCTTTCGGTAAACACACTTAACCTCCTAAGACCTGAACTCTTCCACAGCATGCATTTTTAATTTCTCTTTGATATTTGGGCTGATTGGGACCCGATGAATGTAAAAACAAAGAATTACCAGATTTTTTTTTTTTAATCTAATTTTTGTTTCTAAGAAAAATGAGAGCCACATATGAGGATATTTGTTTAACATTTCAATTGAACAGTAGCAGTATAATGTCCTCGTAAGTGGATATCAGACCCTTTTAGAGCAAAATTGAGTATTTTGGTCTAAATAACCCAAAATGTGATGTCCACATATGTGGACGCCAGGTCCTAGGAGGTTAAGTAGTTAATGTGATCATTTAAGACAACTCGAGTTGTTGCCACTTTAACTGAAAAAGGGTTGTGCTTAAATAACACAAACACTTTTTGTTTATAATTTTGGTTTGTTTGTTTTCAAGGTTTATGGACACATTTATTTTTAAAACATTTTCAGATCTGGATCAACTTCCTGTGTTGCTCTAGATTTGATTCATATCCTATCTCAGTTTATGAAATTCTTCATATGTATCTGTATTCTTAACAAAATTGGTGGTTTGCACCATGAGTCTTCAATCTAGTTGACGGTTTCCTAAACTGACTCCTCGCAGTCTGATAAAAATAAACATGGAGCATATTAATAACAGTGACATGGAGTCAATAAATGAATGAGGAACTTTTATACTTATTGCATGTTTGAGTGTAAAAACACACCTTTTTTCAGTGACTTTTAGTCATAAAATGTTGAAAGTACCTCAACAAATGTTTTCAAGGAAAGACTAAAACTGTCATTTCACAGGTTTCTTTAAAAATAAGAAAGAAAAAAATCCTTGACCCAATACAAGTGTTTGCGGTGCTTTCCTGCGACGTATCAGTGGCTGGAGATAACAGGATAGGTGACATCTCACCACAACGAGAGCCCCAAGCACTCAGGGATATGACAATGAAACCATCTAAACAATTATTCCTCGGGATAAATGGCCGCCGTGTGAAAAGGTCAGCAACAAACGACAGCCAATTCCCTGCAGAGTGGAAACTGAGTAAAAATAATCGCCCTGTGATTGAATTGAATCCTGGGACATTTGAGCCACAGTAATGAAATGGCTGTTGTTGTGACCCAACCCTTTCACCTCCCTGACGATTTTTTACCAGATTACAGGGCAGGCAGCAGGGGCGACTATTTGCCTACAGGAATATATTTAATATATGTGCATAGGTTTGTTTTGCCAATGTAAATCCCAATTATCACAGCTACTTCTGCATATTACATGTCTTTGTTCACCTACAGGGACCGAAGGGGCACCGGGGGGGCTGTACAACCAGTCATAGCCACCGTTAATGGCTGTACTTTAACAACAGTGTGTATACCTTAGTGTGCAGCTTTTT